AGAGAGATCAGGGCAGAAAAACGGAGACAGGGTAAGCCAGTGAGAGGCCAGGAAGGACGCCCCTGAAGTCCTTCCTCCATACATCCCACGTGCATTTTGTTGAAATCTCCTTCATTCATTCTTTCCTTAAATATTTAATACTTTGTGAGCGGAGCGGTACTGGTCCTCTTGGAGATGCCTGACTAGAAGCAGCTGGTGAGCTCCTTTCTCACGAGAGGGACTGAAACAGCGAGGGAGAATTGTTCACCGGTGGATCGTCTGGGAAGCCCCTGAATCCACCAGAGAAGCCCCGGGAGCCTCAGAGCGTGGAAGAGAGCGAGGCCGGCAGCCCGCAGAGCTGGCTCCAGTTGGAGATGGAAGAGGATTCTAACGCTGGAAGGAGTGAGGGGGGAGAGAAGCCCTAGGCTTCGGCCTCTGCCAGGAATTTGCAAGCTGTGTCTGGGAGTTCCCTCCCCTCTCCCCCTGCCCCGGTCTCCATCAGATGCGGGCGCCCCCTGGTGTCTGGATAGGGAACCGCTCAGGCCACGTGGAGCACTCCTGACCCAGCTGCGGCCGCCACCCCGCAGGAAGCCGAGCTGGGCGTTTTCGCGCAGCCCCCGGGACAGACACCTCAGTCAGGGAAGAAGAAACGGGCAGACAACGTGCTGTCGCCCCCCCGCCTCCTTCGCTCCCTGCCAAATGGGGCTCACTTGCCCCGCCGCCCCCGCCCCGCCCCCGCCTGAACCCTGCAGCCGCGACTTGAATTCCGGGGGTCGCGGATAAGGTCTGCGCCGTTGCAGCCTCCGCCACCACTGCCTCCGCCCCTGCCACAGGCAGGCCAGGGAGGAAACGGGGGAGGTAGGGCATCTCCATGACTCCGTGCCAGCTGGGGCATTTCTGCCTCCCACTGGGCCTCCGGATGGTTCAGCCTCCCCACTCCCGCCTGAAGACTGCCACTCGGAGCTCCGTGAGGGCCCAACTCCCAGAGCTAGCTGTCTGGCCCCTCCCAGATGCCACTGACACTGCCCCCATCTCTATTGCCTGTGGGTCAGGGAGGGGACTAGACAAGCCGATCACCCTACATAACACACACCACAGTCAATTCACAAAGGAAAAGAAGAAAATTTCAGGAAGCCTAATCCCAAAATAGCGAATTCCAAAAAAAGAAAGGGAGAAAAAAAGCTCTCCCAGATGAGAAGAAATCAGTGTAAGAACTCCAGAAATACCAAATGCCAGAGTAATTCAATACCTCCAAAGGATCACACCAGCTCCCCAGCAACGCCTCCTAGAATGAAACGTCCACAAGACAGACACAGGATTCAGAATATGGAGGAATAGATACTCAGTGAGATCCAAGAGAAAGCGGAAATCCAAAACAAAGAAGCCAGGAAAATAATCCAAGAATTCAAAGAGAAGATGGCCATAGTAAGAAAGAAACAAACCGAACTTCTACAATTGAATAATTCACTTCAGGAATTTCAAAACATACTTGCGAGCCTCAGAGGACACTAGCCCAGGCAGAGGAAAGAACTTCAGGCCTTGAGAACCAATCTTTCAAATCAACACAGTCAGACAAAAATAAATTTAAAAAAATGAAGGGGAAAAAATGAACAAAGCCTGCATAAAATAACACACACACACACACACACACACACACACACACACACACACACACCCCCCTAATTGGAAATCCTGAGAACAGACTGGAAACAACCAGAAGAAGAATTTGAGAACAATCAAATAAAACTTCTGCAATCTTGTTAGAGAGGTCAACATGCAGATAAAAGAAATTAGAACTCTTATGAGATAGTATGTGAGGTGACAACCTCCAGGGTACATAGTCATTACACTATTCAAATTCTTAAAGGCAGCTAGAAGGAAGGGCCATGACACCCATCTTGGAGACCCATTGGAAAATCAGTGGACTTCTAAGCAAAACCCTGAAAAACCAGAGGAGAATGGGGCCCCATTTTTAGCATTCATAAAGAAAAGAAATTCCAGACAAGAATTTCTAACCCTGTCAAACTAAGCTTCCCAGATAAGTAATCACTAAAGAATTGTTCACACTAGACTGACTCTACAAGAGATGGTTCTGAACAAGGAAATGAAAGAGCAATACCTTTTAATACACAAGCACACATAACCACATAGTCCATGAACCTTATAAGTAATCACAATCCAAGACTACAAAGCAGCTAGTTGGCAATACATTGAAAATCAATGGCTTAAATGCCCCCACTTAAGAGACATAAAGTGGAAAACTGCATACAAATCCAAGACCCATCCTGTTGCTTTCTTCAGAAGACCTATTTCACTTCTAATAACACACAATATCAAGGTAAAGGGATAGAAAAAGATCTACCATGCAATAGAAAATGGAAAAGGAGCAGGGATCACCATTCTTATATTAGATGAATCAGATTTTAAGCCAGCAATAGTAGAAAAGGACAAGGAAAGTCATTGCATAATGATAAAGGGACAATGAACAAGAAGTCTTAACCATCCTAAATATATATGCACCCAACATTGGAGCATCCAGATATATAGAACAATTACCACTAGATCTACAGAAGCCTTAGACAGCAACCCCTTAGTAGTAAGGATTTCAACATCGCACTAACAGATTTAGACAGAACATAAAGGCAGAAAACTAACAAAGAAATTCAGAACTTAAATTAAACAGTTGACCAATTGGACATAATAGACATCCACAGGGAACAAAAAATTAAAAAACCCAGATTAAGTGAGAATGTTCTGCTGAGCCAAGTAGAGCCAGAGACCAAAAAAGTATGTCCTTATTTATATGTTTTTATAAATTTTTAATGATAAGTTTTTCCAGAACATTAAAATAATTGAAATACTACTGATGAATTGAAAAATTATATGAATTAAAGCATTTAAGTTTACAAATTCTAGGTATACTCAAAGCAAATTTATTATCATCTGTTTTCCTGGCTGTATAGCGAGCAAAGCAGAGGTCATATTTTCAAAATGTCCTTTTTTATTTCTAATTTTTGACTGAGAATGCTGCCCTGCTTGACAATTTCTCTTGACTAAGTCATGATCTTAGATAATTCCTAACTTTAGATTACTGATCTTGCCATTATTTAAAATTTTGATATTTTCACATAATCAACTTTTTGTTAATTTTAGTTATTAAAAATATCATCAATGGGGCTTGGTGGCTCAACCTGTAATCTCAGCACTTTGGGAGGCTGAGGCGAGTGGATTGCCTGAGCCCGTGGATTCGAGACCCACCTGGGCAACTTGGTGAGACCTCATCTC